TTGTGTAACGAGTACCTTTTACCTTTGAGAGCTATGATGTAGGATTATAAACAGGTTTAAGTGACATAATTGCAACATATGTTTCTTTCTGATTTACAATAATAAAAAAGTGACCTTATAAAACTCTAAAGTAGATATCAAAATAAGATGGAATCATGGGTACTTTCATGATCTCAGTACTAAAAGAGAAGAATAGAGTTATCACCCACAATCCACTAAATTATTTTATAAGGCATATTTTCTTTGTTGACAAAGTTTGGGGTTCTAAAAATTATTTTATTTCAGAACCAAAGTCAAATAATGGCTACCACATTGAATGTTTCCTACTAAAGAGTTCTGACGTATTTCTATTTCTTCTGAACATCTTAACACTGAACTGCTAAGGAGCGTATCTACTAGAAGTTCAAAAAGAAGTAATAATGTTGCCAGGATTAACACTGAATTTCAGTCTTGCAAATATCCTCCACTCTGATCAAATTAATTGGATCACATATAAGTCTACTGAAGTGACCCGCCCCCCGCCTTATTTTGGTTTTGATATAGGGCATGTGTGCTTCCCGGAGAGACACAGACAGAGACAGAGAGAGGAAAGTGAGAAATCATACCCTGGGGGCATGGCCATGCTGCAATCCCTTCTCTGCCTCTCTTTCCTTGAGATTTTGGGCACACACACATATGCACCTGCAGTGATTTTCAAGCCACTGCTCTGGGACTTGAACCACAGAGTCAGCCTTGTGAGTTCCAGCTGCTTTAACCTCCAAACCACCTGCTGGCCCCCCAAAGCCATTCTACAGCCATCTTTTTACACATTAACCTTGATCTGATAGCCTCCTTCCTACCAGTTCTTGCAACAAAATATACTGAGAATTAGTTTACTAATAAAAAAGAAAAATGAGCACAGCATATTGTAAAAATAAAGTAGGGTCCAATAAATATATTTGAAATCAAATCTGATTTTAAAAATCCTTAGAAGAGAACTAGTCTGTACCTGGTGGATAAGATGATTGGATTCCACATGGCCAACCACATCATTTAAGTCCCAGAGCCTGAGGCTAGAAAAACATGCTGACTTGAAAGATAGTCCAGGAATGTGGATGCCCAAAATGCTACAAGAAGGAAGAAATGGAGGAAAAGGGGTTGCAGCATGACCATGTCCATGGGGGGTGCTTTCTCAGTTTCTCTTTTCCTCTCTCTCTTTGACAAGTATATAGGCCCTCTATGCAAGGAAAAAATCCTAAGAAACACACTATTCAGTGATAAGCTGTTAGATGCAACTTGAAACATTGAGCCTAAGATTTGAAAGCTAACCAAAGAAAACCAAAAGAGTAGTGCTTTCAAAGAGCAACTGAAGAGTTTGTCACAGTTTAATGTATCACTATAAGACACATATGTTAACACTGTTGAAGAGAAAAAAAAAACACTTAGAAGAAAAGGATGAAAATAGAAATGCTTTCTCACCCTCTTTCCTCATTTAATACCTGCTGCTACAAAATAGCACTAAGAGTTAAAAACTTGTCTTTAGTCAGGAAAAGTTCTCACAAGTTAGATCTAAAGTTATTTTTATTAACATTTAAAATTTTGTAATTTAAATTTTGTAGAACTTTCTAATTTAAAATGTGGTAATTTAATTTTAACCTAAAGCATCACAGGCAATTTTGCTAAAGGAAGATCATGTCAACATCATTCTGTGGTTTAGGATTTCTTACTATTGTTTTTAAATTTAGGATAGCATATTAGTTAATTTCAATGATATCTGGAAATACAGTTTTACCTTTCCTGAATACTACCAATTTTATCATTAATCAGTTTTTTCATAACCACCATTTCAGATAGGTTTCCTGAACTACTTGCTCAATACAGATGTTAAAATACTAATATTTAATAAGTAGTCTTTATTTATGTTTTTTGGAGAGGTTTTTGCTATAGGGCGCATGCGCTCATCAGAAAGACAAGAGGGAGACAGAGTAACAGAAAGCGAGAAATCACCCCATCCAGGGGAGATGGCCACACTGCAATCCCTTCTCCATTCTCCTCTCGGGATCTTGGGCATGCACGCACACATGCCTGGCGTGAGTTTAAGCCACCAGGTCTGGGACTTGAATCGCGGTCAACTACATGGGAGTCCAGTGACATAGCCATTATGCCAACTGCTGGTCCCATAGCCTTTAGAGTGGAAAGATACCTGGAGTAAACTGAAAGATCTAAAAATATAATGGTAGAAAAGATAAATATGGATATTAGACACTACAGGACAAGGGATGGATGAGAGGATTGGAAGGGGCATCGGGAGGAAATACTAGGTAGATATAAGAACTTAAAGTTCTCCAATGGAAAAGATATATGATAGTATTATTGATTTGATAGTAATGTAATGCATGTTTTTGAAAAACTATATTGTGTGCTATGGAGATGTACAACAATTAAATGTGAAGAAGAAGTAGAACAAAAAGATATTTGGAGTAATCATAGTTTTATAATTTTAGATATAATTTTATTTTTGCCTTAAAGAGGTTTGTGGGTAAGCCATGCTTCATTATTTTCATAGAACAATATACTTACGTGTAATTAGTGTCTGATTCTTTCATAGCTTTCTAAGTGTAGTTATTTGAAAATTTGTCCCAAAATATTATATAATGAAGGCCTTTAGCTCAAGGCTATAAGTTATATTTTAGTTGATAATTCTCAATGTTTTGACAAAATTTTAGAAAAATTAAATCATTTAAAGTAATATTGGGTGAAAAAAAAACAAGTTCCAGGAGATTGTATATACTATATCATCTTTAGAAAGCTTCAGACTAGCAAAAATAAACAAGATGTTGTGTTAAAAGTAAATACATTTGTTATAATGTAGTAAATCAGAAGAGCATGTGTAAAATTTGAGAGACCTGTAACCCCTAAAGGGGTAACCATGAGGTTGGTATGGGAGAATAATACATAAGTTAATTGTAAGTTACTGGGAGACACACACACACATACACACACAATTCATCATGAATATTAGTTAACAATTTTTTTAGGGAGTTTTTTTGCTCTCTGGCACATGCACTTGCCAGAGAGACAGAGAGAGAGATATAGGGACAGAAAGTGAGAATCACCCCCTCCCCCCGGGAGGGGATGGCCACACAGCAATCCCTTCTCCTCCATTTTCCTCTCGGGATCTTGTACATACATGCACATGTGCCTGAGGCAAGTTTTAAGCTACTGGGCCCGGGACTTGAACTGCAGTCGACCATGTGGGAGTCCAATGACATAACCATTATGCCATCTGCTGGTCCTGCTTAGCAATTTTTTAATGCAAGAAAACCAGGAGGTTTAGAGTGTTCAGGACCAACTCGATGGTGGATGTGTAGCATTCCACTCTTAGCTGGAGGGAACATTGTTCTAAACATATGGAGCACTGTGTCCCTTGGGCCTTCACATTTCACTGTAACATTTATGGCAAATAGTTAGTCATACTTTTCTGATATTCCTAATAACTAAATGATTATCTTTTTAATAATATATTTTTTATACTTTGTCTTACTATTGAATTTACTATTTTTTTTTTTTTTTGGGAGGTTTTCGCTAGAGGGCGCGTGCCGCAATCCCTTCTCCGCCATTCTCCTCTCGGGATCTTGGGCACACACGCACACGCGCCCAGCGTGAGTTTTAAGCCACAGGGTCTGGGACGTGAACCCCAGTTGACTACATGGGAATCCAGCGACATAGCCATCACGCTAACTGCTGGTTCCCTCAATTTACTTTTATACATGGTGGTATCAGAATGAGACTAGTAGTTTTACTTAATGAGAATACAGAATATCTCATATTTTTTGCTCCTGTTCATGGTTGATGTTAAAGTTTTGATTAGTGAATGCATTATTTCTACCAGAATGCTTTTAGAATTCTGTTTTTTGAATCCAGAGACTAGGTACCAGTAGACTAATTTTTATGAAATTATATAGAAAAAGATACATTCTTCTTAATAAATCAATAATATGGAAAACAGGGGCAATTTTGATGATCAGATAGGAGGGTTGGAGAAAAGAAAAATCTCACATCAAAAAACACTGCAATGTCAATAAAATAAGAAGAATCCCTCATCTTTTAGGCAGGCTGGGATCTAGAAGAAAATGAAGTAAGATTTAGGCATGAATTCTTTCTGTTTTATAAAGCCATTCTTTCATCTTTAAGGGGATGGGACCTTTGGCGGGGTTTGCAAAGGCAGAACACATTCCAGAATAAAACATTTTTTTTGCCTGCTGAGTGCTGGAAGAACTAACAGAGGACTGACAGGCAAGCTGTCTGGTACAGTTGCAGTAGGACAACCCATCTCACTGCTGGTTGTATAGATATTTGCCCATAAAGGAAAAGCTCTTGTGTACTTAGGAGATATTTTAGGGACAGAAGACAGAACAATGCAATATATAAACTAATTTGGAGCATGAGTTCCAGAAGTCTAGCTTGAATTTACAATTACTTGAGTTTGAAAAAGAATGCTCCTACCTCTTTCACAGAGAATTTGTTTGTTTTTTGTTTGGTTTTTGCCATAGGGCATATACACTCTCTGGGGAGTCAGAAAGAGAGAGAGAAGGTGAGAAATCATTCCCCAGAGGGAAATGTCCACACCACAATCCCTTCTCCTCCATTCTCGTTCTGAGATCTTGGGGCATGCACGCACATGCGCTCAGTGTGACTTTTAAGCCACCAGGTCGGGGACTTGAACTCTAGGTTGGCCATGTGGGAATCCAGTGCCTTAACCAGCAGACCACCTGCTAGTCCCCACAGGTAATATTTAACTTTGCTGACTCCAGAATACGAATGAAAATGTATAATTTGAAAAACTAAAAAGTCCTTCAAAAGACACTTTGGAATAAAGTTAAATATTATGGAAATTAACTGACAGAAATGAAATTAAATTTGAACTTGATGGAAGGAAATAAGCAACTGATCACTTTTTTTCATGCCTACAATATGTAGTCTCGCTTTTAATTTCACAGGAAGAACAACCTTTACCGTACCTGACGAGGGGTTCTTTCTGATTTACTCCTACACCACTCCCAGTCTGAAAGCTCTGGTTTCTGACTCTCCTCGTGAGATAGTCTTCTTTCTGGCCCTTCCAAAAATGTGTTTTCTTCATGGTTAATATCACCTCCTGTTTTGTCAGAAGTCACACCATTTTCTGGGTCGGAATCTCGTTTTGTCTCTGTAATATCAGTATTCGTGCATTTGTTGACGCCTGTCAGTGTGGAGCTGTCCAGAGAAGGCGTGGTGCTGATTTCTACTTTAATGGTGTTGAAGATATTACGGTTGTCTCTCTGAGAGTCTTTTGTAGTTTCACACTCATAGTTCATCAGGTTGTGATAGGATATAGAATTTTCATCATCATCATAGTAATCTTCGCGTGCTATTTTATAAATTCCATAGCTTTGTTGGAATGATAGATTGAATTCAAAGCCTTTCCTCTTGGCTAAGTGAAAACAAGAACAAAATTTCATGGCTAGTATGGTGGATACAAACAGTTATCTATCTATCTATCTATCTATCTATCTATCTATCTATCTATAATCTATCTATTTATCTATCATCTATTTTTATCTATATATATAACAAAATAGGAAGTGCATTCAATCTGATTATTATGAGTTTAAAAACTGTCTCCACTTCTTGTCAATTATGCCTCCCAAAATAATCATCACACTGGGCCCAATTTTTTACTCTTGCACAATGCGAGAGTTGAAATGTATATCATCGCAAGGATCCTTTCAGTCTTTAAAGCAATTTTACATAATGAAAATTTAGCCATAAATTAAGAAACTCTCAAATACATTCAATTTTAGCTTTTTTAGTCTATCATTATTCTATACATCATATTATTTGATATAAAATATATTTCTTATATTTCATTTTGTTAGAAATTAATTATTAAGTAGCCTTACTATTATATGAACTATACATCTGACAACACAACACTATCAATAGATAGAACTGTTTAAAACAACTTAACATATACTATTTCTAACATTTATGTCTATAAATATATACATTAAAAATTAGGCTATGTTACAATACAGCTTTTAAACTTTTAAAAATAGCATGTACTTTTATGATACAAATAAATAGGATTAAATTAGTAAAACATGAATTTATATTTTTGTGAACTGAATCACCTAATTACAAGTGGAGTTTAGCAGAAATGCATAAAACGATTTCTGATTTAAAATACTGTGTTTTAAACATAGTACCATTAGTTGGTGGACATAATACCAAGTGTTACTAAAATAATAAACGTGAATGTGAGAGAAAGTGATACAATATTTACATGTAAATGTCATGCAGTACTGACTTTTTAAGTTTAAGAATGAAGTTATATTAAGGTAATAGACAAAATGAAATTTAATGTTTTAGTGTTTGTCTTTCAAAACTTAGGCTTAAAATTTTTTCCCCTTTATTCTTGATAAAGTTCATGGACATCCATGTGATAGTGTCTATATGAGACAAAGAGTGAGAGAGATGAAACCTCTGCAGGATCTGGTTACACAGTGACCCCCTTCCTCCAGTCCTCCTTCCCATAGGGCACTTGTATGTGTGCCTACCATGTTTCAGGTTGACTAAGCCTGGGATTCAAGCCTTGGTGACCATGTGGAATCCAGCCTCTTGTAACCAGTCCATTACCATTCAGTCATGCAGCCAGCCCCAAACAAGGCTTTTTTTCAAACACATTTTCTACTTTGGTAGTTCAGTGTTTTATAATTAGATGCTTAGCTATCTTTGGTGGGAAAATATGTGTGAAAAGCTATCAAGTTTCTGTAGGAAAAACGGACAAATTCTGATTCATTTTACAATATGCCCTTGTGTCTTTCACAGGCTGATTTCATTACTGAAATGTTCCAGAATCTAAGATTTACAAACCAATTTTACTAACTGAAAAATGGAATTTATCATTACCATTCATGTGTTTGAGCCAGGATGCAAACAAGAAAAATTTCTATTCAAAGTAAATGGAAAAAGAGAAACAGACGTTCAAATATCACATACTGTCTCATTTATATTTCTATTTACTCTTTCTAGTAATATAGTTCAGTAAAATTAAAACAAGATTTTTAACTTACATTAGCAGCACAAAAAGTGAAGAAAACTAAAATAAGTTTTAAGTTATTGATGGACTTTCCTTTTCTCCAAAAAGGAAATATATAGAGTGACAAAATGTCAATTCAGGACCATTAAGAAAATAGAAAATGTAACAAACTCCCAATTTTCTGATAGAACAGTTGATAAAACTAGTGTCTGTTACTATTTTTTAATTAGTTGTATAAAATAACTCTGAAATATGAAATATATAGAGCAAAAATGAGTTTTTTTTTTTTTGAGAGGTTTTTGCTATAAGGTGTATGCCCTTGCCAGAAAGACAGAGAAACCTCATTTATATTTCTATTTACTCTTTCTAGTAATATAGTTCAGTAAAATTAAAACAAGATTTTTAACTTACATTAGCAGCACAAAAAGTGAAGAAAACTAAAATAAGTTTTAAGTTATTGATGGACTTTCCTTTTCTCCAAAAAGGAAATATATAGAGTGACAAAATGTCAATTCAGGACCATTAAGAAAATAGAAAATGTAACAAACTCCCAATTTTCTGATAGAACAGTTGATAAAACTAGTGTCTGTTACTATTTTTTAATTAGTTGTATAAAATAACTCTGAAATATGAAATATATAGAGCAAAAATGAGATTTTTTTTTTTGAGAGGTTTTTGCTATAAGGTGTATGCCCTTGCCAGAAAGACAGAGAAACAGAAAGTGAAAAATCACCTCCCAGAGTGGGGGTGGGGGAAATGGCCATGCCACAATCCCTTCTCCTCCATTCTCCTCTTGGGATCTTGGGCATGCATGCACACATGCCCAAGGTGAGTTTAAGCCACTGGGTCCAGGACTTGAACCGCAGTCAACTACATGGAAGTCCAGCGACATGGCCATTATGCCAACTGCTAGTCCATGAGTCATGTTTTTGCAGGAGTGTGCGAAATGTGTGAATGAAGAATTTGCCTTCATGCCATGAAGTGCAAGAGGCAGTCTGAGGTCAGCTTTGAAAAGAAAGTAAGATGGGAGAAAGACCATGATGTTACAGAGCATTCCCAGGTCAAGCCATGCACATAGGTCATGTCATTTAACAAATGACAACTCTATACCATAAACAGCTTTTTGGCCCTCTCCTACTTTACACTTGAGAAAACCGAAGCTGATAGATGAAGCCTACATAAGATTAGTCACCTGGTAAAAAAGATCTGAATTTAAAGATAACTGTTTCCAGAAATTACAGTTAATGGCCTTCTATGAGAAATTGCTTTATTGCTAATCAGAATCATGAGAAAAAATATGTTAATGGAAGCAGAATGATCAGGATATACTGTTTTTAAGTCAAATGAAGTGGATTAATTATGAAATGTAGCCAGTGAAAACATTTATTATTGACTTTACATGAAAGGTGAATTCTGACTGAGGTAACTAAAGCTACCTAAAATAATAAGTTATAACAATATTACAGAATTGACAATGTTTGACTCAATTCTGATTGCAAAAGGAAAAACCTCTATAAAATGTATTTAAATTCACATAGTAAAATCAAAACTATGTTGAAAGAAAGGTTATTGTGAGAGTCAAAACTGATCACCTTTAAGTTCCTTAAAGGCAAAAACTATGTCTTATTATTGTTTTTTTTTTTGTTAATTTAAGGTAGAAAACCTTAAATATATATTGAGTCCAGTTAGCTAACATTAATAATTTAAAAATATTAGGCATTTATTATAGCAAATGGGAAAGATCTCCCTCTGTCTAAAGCTCGTTTTTCAGCTCCAGCCAACTGTGGAGACACAGGGGCTTTGCTGTTAGCTACTCTGATTTTTCAGATAAATTAGATTTATATATTTTATATGACATATTCTGATCTTAAAATTTTGGCCCATAATTAAAATCAGTTAAAAGTAACTTAAAATTTGGTTTAAAAATAAAACTTACATAGGGACCAGCAGGTGACTCAAATGGTACTAAATGAATGGAATATGATTTCAAGAGAAATGATATTGATTTATTGGGAGTGTATAGTGGGACACTAGTAAATGCAACATTATAATGCTGACTCATGTGGAAGGTTCTCATGTCACAGCTGGAGACTTTCCTGAGTAATGTGCACACCCATGAGCCACATGGCTAAGACTGGGAGTAGACTGTTGTGTCATGACTGGTGGTTGGGACCAGCAATTGGTTTAATGGCTATGTTGCTGGACTCCCATGTAGTCAACCATGGTTTGAGTCTGGGACCCGGTGGCTTAAACTCACGCCAGACGTGTGTGCGTGCATGCTCAAGATCCTGAGAAGAGGATGGAGGAGAAAGAATTGTGAAGTGACCATCCCTCCTGGGGGGTAATTTCTTGCTTTCTGTCTCTCTGTCTCTCTCTGTCTTCCTGGCGAGCTCACGTGCCCTATAGCAAAAACCTCTTCAAAGATGTTTTATTTATTTATAAGAGGGAACACTTTGAATATAGAGTTTATAACTCCAGAATTTAATCCACTTTAAAAAAAGATTAAGTTGTTTTTTTGAAACTTTTTTTGTGTGTAGACCTTTCACTTATTAATAACTTGTAAGAAACTTAAAGGTCATTAGAATATCATCTGGGATCTTTTGAAATCTATACCACACTATTGAAAATAAACAGAGTGTTGTATTTGGAAGGCTAAAGTTTCTTTGTTCCACAACCCTAGATACAACATAAATAAACTTTGTTTTCTCTTAATCACATGTTGCCAATTCTAATTTTAGATGTAAATAACTTATACCAACTTATATGGCAAGATGTCACCAGCGATTGTGATTTTACCAAAATATACTAGTTAAAAATCTGATTTTTATATAATATATTTGATTTTCAGCTGTTTAAACAAAACAGAAAACATCATGTCAGATAAACAAAATGCATCTGAAAGCCATATCCAACCCAGATGGTTGCCACCTGAGACCTCTATTTTTAACCTCTTTTAAAACAAAACAAAGCAAATGCTTTTGTTTTGAGATACCTGTAATACAGACTATTGTTGGAAACAAGAGAAGATGATTATTTATGCAAACAATTCCCAATACTAATACTTATTTTCTGATTGCACATCTCTCATTTCTCATTCAGTGAAGCAGAGATAGAGAATGATATCTTCAAAATTAACCAATGGTAAGCATGAATTAGGAAAATATCTTTTCCCTTTCTTGTTTCTGGAATTCACTGATGAAGAATGTAAAGATAGGGAAACTTTATGAAGGAAAAAAGTTTAAACTTAAAACTGGAGCTATGCTCCCAAAGAATTAAAAGTACTATAGCCGATCAAACATGTGGGCCCCCTACTTATGAGCAGCCTTTGGGATTTCAAAATTCTGTTCTGTCATCTTAGCAACAGGAAAATTTTTTCTTAGACAGGAAAAACATCAGTTTTTATCCTTAGAATTTTTTATGGCATAGCCCAGAGCAAATCGGGCCATTTGAACTATAAGCAGCTTAATATTTCTCACATGCTTTATTATTGAAATCACGCTTCCTTATAAAATGATAAGACTTCATATTTAATATATTAGCATTTGCTAGACTCTTCGATTCTTCAGGCTTATAAGTGATTTCTTATATGTTGCATCTTTAATAAGTGGCCCATAAAGGCTTGTTATTAATATTCTCTGTCACTATTGCTTTGGGTAGCAATACCCAGAAGCACATCATTAATGTGATTATTTTTAAAAGTACAGATGAATTTGGCATCTATCAATCATAAAACTATGACAATCTTAATGATACAAATATCTTCTGGTTATTTGAAAAATATGTAGACTTTGAAAATTTTAAATGTCATCAATACATGGAAAGGGCTATTTCATGACTTATTAATATTATAAAATAACACTTTTGCTGAATTGATTACAGAATATACTTTGATATTCTGCAGTTTTACAATTCTAAGGTATTCTGAGACAGATTGTGTTTTATCCAATCTTTCTTTTTGTTAAAGAATAATAGACTTGCTTATTAAGCAAAAGACAATGGGACAGTTAAGTCAGCATACACTAATGTATTCTTCAATTTATAAAACAGTAGAATATCTTATCTTTTTGCCTGGAATGACAAAGTACTATCTTTTTTTTTTTTTTTCTTGGCAGACTCAAAATATACAGCTCATTCCTCCACTTTTCCTGTCTTCCAATATGAAAACAATTATAAAAAATTTTGTAGTTGAGCCTGTGTCCCACTCCCATTCTAGATGTATTCTTTGAAACATATCCATATTTTTAAGCAAAAGACATGGCTAGATTCATACGTGAACATATAATGACAAAATATGCCACATTTGTTCTTACTTGAAGCTAATAAAAGCTGTTGTGTGTGTCTCTAACAGCAGAGGCCTGTATTTAAATTTTGTTTTGGAACTGTGGTTCCTACCTGTGGTTCCAAGTGTGGTTCAGGCACTTTGGTTTCTTAACTCTGCAAACTCCAAATCCCCGAAGAATACAAGCGGTGAAAACCTGAGAATGCTTTTCTTTACTGTTCCATTGATAATATTGGCCAACATAACAAATGTTTAATTTTTCAGTCGCAGGTGTCTCGGAGCTATGTTGCTTTCTCTGTGTAGACTTGGGAGGCTAATTTATTTTCTACTTGGTGCCGGGTGCTATGGTGGCTATAACGTTTAAGAGCTTTTGTTGACTCGCGGTGTTGAATGAATTCTACTCTCTTCCTTTCTTTCCTGGAAATAATTGTTCAATGTGCAAGTATTTCACGGGGGTGTTTAAAACTCACCTCTTAAAACAGTACTCCAGCACTATGCTAAGAACTGTTTCATGATTTGGTTCTCCTTATTTACCATCTACTGTACATTTGTCCCTGGACTCTTCCTCTCCTACTCAGGCAGCGTTCTCAGTCAGCCGGTCTCGCGTGTTTGAATGCATGCATACTCCCAACCACCACGCTGGCGAGGACTTACTTTTTTCCCCATCTGATGTCACCGGGTACGTGTTCTGCCTGCAGTTAATGATGCAGCCACAGGGCAAGTGGGTCCAGCGTTTGGACAAGACAAACACCGGAGTTACAGTGGTGGCCAGCAGGGTTAGTAGAAAGCTGAGTGTCTCGAATGGAAGGCTCTGAAACCCCACCACGTGCTTGACCATCATGTGAATCTGCAAAGGCAGAGAACTTCAGACCTAATTCGGAGTCGCATCTTGCACTTCGCAAGCCTTTCCCGCAGGCACCCTGACCTCGCCCCCATTTCTAGTCCCCCTTTCCTGATAGAGAGCCAGCTCTGCTCCTGGGCTGGCACACTCGACTTGGGAACGGGCAAGACGCACAGGGTTTCGGGGTTTTCTGCTCCAGTGCTAGACTGCACCAGCTGCCAGTTCAAGTCTCCACTAGGGAGGTGCATTCTGCAGCATAGGGACATAACCGAGGGAAACCGGCAGGCGTCCATGGGACTGGCATCTGGTACTCCAAATGCCCTTTGTCACCTCCCAGATCTCTCGCCTCTGCTCAAGCGCGCATGACCAGGGCGCCACTCCCCACCTCAACCACTCCCAACCCCTCAAATGGCTCCCACCCGGAGACTGGAACAAAAGCCTCTAGGCTGTTTGTCCCCTCTTTCTTCGCTCCACAGTGGAACGCTCCTCTCTGGTCTCTGCCTTCTTCGATGGGCGGTTTTTTACTTTCCTCTCCTTTTCTGAATACTGCCAGATTTTGCTGTGAGAGACGCGAACACTCTTGGCCACGACAAATCTAGGAAACTAAGTTGCTCGCGACCGAAGCGCGCCCCAACCCCCTCAATTTCCAAACCACAAGCGCTTAGTGGAGGCTTCGCGGCTAAGTAGTTTTACCGGTGCACCGCCTCATTCAAAGTCCCTCTCTTTAACACCGAGCGAGACACGTTTGGGGCGGACTTAACTGCGCGTGGGCACTCCCAAACCAGCCACGCTGGTCCCCACACGCACCCACACTGTCTGCACACACACCCACGCGTTGTGAGCAACTGCACTTTTACCATCATGGGCAGCCAGAGGGTGACTTTTGTCAGCGCTAGGATCAAAGCGAAGCGCTTCTGCGCTATGCTCACGGTGAAGCTCCTGGTGCCATAGAGAACCCCCGGGTTCTCACGCCTGCAGGCTCCAGCCCCAGCAGCAGCGGGCAGACAAGGTCCAAACACAGTGTCGGAGCTCGAGGAGCAGCCGCCGGAGCACCGCAGGGCTGGCCCTGGAGCATCCTCTGGGGACAAGGCAAGCACGCGCCCCCCAGTAGGAGGGGTCCCGGGAGTGGAAGCTCCGCGGGAGATTTCCTGGTACTTGGCATGAAGTCTCGGCGGCTCCTCTGAACACAGCAACTGGTGAGTGAGCGGGACCGAGAGGCCCGCGAGGAGTCCGAAGGCCGCAGCGTACACCGCGCAGAGGAGCAGCACGTAGGAGCTGGAGCAGTCGGCCAGGCAGCCCCAGGGTGTGCGCACGAAGGCGCCCCAGCCGCACAGCGGGAGCGCGGAGAGCAGCAAGCTCGCCGCCCACACAGCCAGAGCCACACCGAGCACCTGGCCGGATTTGCTGGAGTCAGCCTGACTCCCCACAACCCTGTGCATCGTGTAAAAGTTGTAAGACACTAGGAGAGTCGCCTTCACGTTGCTCGAGAGACCCTGGCATAAATACAGTAAGGCGGAGGTGGTGCACAGCGACTGGAAGTAGCCAGGGACCTCGTTGGGCCACTGCAAAAACATAAAGATGGTCACCGACAGGACGCTCATAAGATCATCCACAGACCAGGAAGCCACAAGCATGGACACAACAGTTCTGCTGTGCATTTTCAGCAGAGAAACTAGTGAATAAATACCGCCCGCCAGGGCTACAAGAGTCATTAAGCATGTCAGGCAAAACAGATATATATTCAGAGTTCCTGGAGGATTGAAAAGCTCCGTAGAATTATGATTTTCTTTCCACAGGCTAGAGTCATTTATTGATAGGTTCCTGAGAAGGGAAGACATTGTCCTTGGTCAATTTTTAATTTCCCTCTTCAGTGAGTCTGATCATTTTCTCAAAATAAACCATGGATGCTGCAAATCACAGCTCCTTTCTCCTACCAAGTTTTCCTCTAGATGTTCCCGGTCACTCCTGCAGAAAATGTTCAGGCATATCTCCTTCAGATCCGACTCAACCCATGTTTAAAATCTGGGTTCCTTTTCAAGCATCAATAAGAAACTTTTCAGCCTTTCAATTAAAAACAAGCAAATCAGAAACTCCCTCCCACCATCAAGTTTCAGGCAAGAAAGCGAAACTCCTCAGGTAGCAAAGCAGTGATGTCTGAATCCTTTTGGGTCGTTGTTATGGAGCAAAGCAACTTGTAGCTTGAGATAATCAAACTATTCACTTTCAAGTGCAGTAAAACCGATGCATTTGGTTCCAGAGCTGGATTCAGAGGCAGAGAGATTGTCAGGTTTCAGCTCTGCTGAGAGAGAGAGAGAGCCAGTCAGAGTCTGAACACAGGCTCCCATCCAAACCACAGTGTTCTTCAAACAGGCTGTGATCCTCAGAGCTGCAGGAAGGAGGAGTCAGCTTCAAGCAAGAGAAAAGCAGGGAAAAAAAGGGAGGGGAGTTCAGTGTATGAGGAAAATGATGTATATCTTGCTGGCCTGCCTCATTCAAGGCAAGAAGCATTGTCCTTGCTAAGCCTTCCCCCTTGGATCTGACATACAAAACTAGCCCAGATACTTGCTCAGGCTTGACGCAAACTACAGATATCACCTCTGAGAACTCTAAACTACTCCCTTAACTAAAGGGCTGCGTTTTAAAGTTTATTTTGAAAGACACACACACACACACACAGAGAAGGGTCGCTTATCAGGGTTTCATCACATTGTGATACCCCCACCACCAGGCTCCTTGGTGTGTTTGAGGTCTACCTAAGATTCAAATCCGTGATCTTCTATGTGGTTCTAGCATTGCAGAGTAGCACTTTCCCACCTGTGTAGCACACCATAGCTGGTCCGATAAAGAGCTGCTTTTATTTCGTTCTAGACTTCCTTGCTTCATAATCCACTGGAAGAATATCATCAATGCCATTTGTATGAATAACATTTACCAGATTTCCTTTTGAGAAATACACTCGACAATGTCATTATGGTTCTCATCACAATAAACAAGATTATGCAAGTCCTGGAGTAGAGGAGTAGCTGTAGACATTATTCTTAATAAGTGTATATTTTCTTCTCCTGTCATTCAAATACATGTTTTTAGTTGTTCTTAAGGTCAGGTGACATTACACAGGGCCTCAAAGGAAGGTTGCCACACAAAAACCATTTTTAACCACAGAGTATTTAGGGTGTCTGCATGCAATAGTTTCATCTCTGAATTGTCAGCTTTGCAAGAAGCATGGCTTCGCTAAGAAGTAGCTGTTAGCAGTAGACTTGGAGTGCATTTCTCAGGACGTTTCAGGGCACATTCCTTCTCAGTTCAGCTTCGCAACCTGATGGCTGCATACCCCCACATGGTGCTGGAGATTTTAATGGAAGCAGGAGAAAGAGAAAGAAAAAGTTGAGATGGTAACTATTTAAACGAATGGGAGTGGTAATAGAACTGTAATCTTTCATTTTAGAAATAAACTAAGACCGCATTTTTGAATCTGAATCTGTCCGAGCAGAAAATGATTGTGCTAGTTGTTGCCAGCCACACCCTTCGATAAACACAGTAGGCAGTTTACTTATCTTGACATGTTGACTGTGACTTTGCCCTTCCTTTAGCTAAATGGAAAATAAAACCCACGTGGGAAAGCTAGCTCAGCGCTCTAGCTCTCCCTACTGACAGTAATAGACCTTGCAGTGCTGGGTAGGTGAGCCTGGGAGTAAATTCATTTGAAAATAATTTTGATTTAGTAATTACAGTGATCAACAGGCATTGTTTTTGAATATTTTTAGTGTTCTGTGGCATGCATTCTGTCTTGTCTCCCAGACCTTATCCTTTCTTGGAATAGCAAAGATACAAGGGTTCTTCAAAAACACGAATGCATACATATTATGAAAAACTATGCATGATTTCAAAAACGTCGGAGTAAAAATAGATTTTTATTAACTTGTTAAACATGTCTGAACATGGTCTACCTGGAGACACAAAGAAAAAAGAAGACATCAGTTTGAAAAGCGCCCCTCTCAGAGCGATATGAATTCTGCTAAAATAGAAGCAAGCACAAACATAAAATTTATGAAGAAACTTGTGTGAAAGAGTTGTGAAATCACTGGTACTTTATAGAATGTTTATGGAGGCAGTGCCCCAAATAAATTAGCAGTTTCCAAATGGATAACTTGTCTTAAGAAAAAGATGAGACAATGGTAAAGATGATGTCTGCAGTGGCAGACCATCCATATCAATTTGTGAGCAAAAAGTTAATGCTGCTCGTGCGGTAATTGCTCTTAATTGTGTTATGATGTTGGCTACTGCTGGACTGTTAATTGAAGACAATCAGTGATTAATAGCAGAAACAATAGCTAGCCCCATATACATTTCAATTGGTTCAGCTTACACAATTCTAACAGAAAAAATGAATGGTGAGCAAACTTTTTTGCCCCAATGGGTGCCAAAACTGTTGTGACCAGACAGCTGAAGACAGGAGCAGAGCTTTCAGTACAAATTTCCAACAAGTGAGATCTGGATCTTGAGCCATGTCCTCTAAGAATTGTAACAGGAGATGAAACGTGGCTTTACTCGTACCATCCTGGAGATCAAGCACAAGCAAAGCAGTGGTTATCAAGGGGTGGAAGTGGTTCCGACAAAACAAAAGCAGATTGGTCAAGAGCAAAGGGCTTGACAACATTTTTTTTGGATGCGTTAGGCATTTTACTTGTTTATTTTTGAGATTATCAAAGAACAGTAATATCTGCTTATTTTGAGAGTACTTTGTGAAAGTTAGCTGACACTTTGGCTTGTAAGCTTAATATGAGAGAACATATATTGTGGAGGCCAGTGAGTAGCTTGGTGGCTAAGGTGCTGGACTCCCACATGATCGACTGCAGTTTGAGTCCTGGACCTGGTGGCTTACTTTTTGCATTTTTTCTCTTTCTCTCTCACTCTGTCTCTCTTTGGTGAGTGCAGGTGCAGTATAGCAAATTGAAGTATAATAATGGTAATAAATAAAATTAAATATATCTTTTTTTAATTGAGAGGTTTTTGCTATAGGGCACATGTTCTCACTAGAAAGACAAAGACAGAGAGACAGAAAGTGAGAAATCACCCTCCAGGGAGGATAGCCACACCGCAATCCCTTTTTCTTTGCAATCCCTTCTTCTCCATTCTCCTCTCGGGATCTTGGGAATGTACCACACCCGTTGGGCATGAGTTTAAGCCACCAGGTCTGGGACTCAAACCGCAGTCAACTACAAGGGAGTCCAAAGACATAGCCATTACGCCAACTGCTGTCCCTAATTCTTAAAAAAAAGAAAAAAAGAAAACTTGCCATGTAAGTCACTGTGTTCTGGGGCTGATTATTACCGAATGGCATCTTAGCTCATCCTAATGTGGTTAGGTATACTATTGCCCCCATTGCATAAGTGAGAAAACATAGGCACAGAGAGATTAACTGATTTGTCCAAGGTCACATATTTAGTAAGTGGAGCCAAATTGAAAAATTATTGTCAGGTTTTCCATTTTTTTCTTTTCTTTCTTTTTTTTTTTTTTTTTTTTTTTTTTTTTAATTTGCTAGAGGGTGCCTGCACTTGCTGAAGAGAGAAAGAGAGAGAGAGAGAGAAACAAGAGAGAAAGTAAATGCACTCTCCAAGGGAGATGGTCCCAGCACTATCCCCTTCCCTTCATTTCTCCCTCCCTCCCTCCTTTCAGGATTTTGGGCATATACACACACGCCTGATATGTTTCTCAGTCTGCTGGGTCCTGTACTTGAACCACACAATCAGCCATGTGGGATGCAGCTTCCTTAACCACATGCCACACACTGGCCCTGGTTCTGCATTCTTAACCCCAGCACAGGTACATTTTCTAGTTATTCCCTCATAGTACTCCCTCTTTGGAAACACTTCCAATGATACTGACAATCATAAAATTTTGTTTCTGCTTCCCTTTCCTACAAAGCATTTTTTTTTTGGAGAGATTTTCACTGTAGGGTGCGTGTGCTCGCCAGACAGACAGAGAGAGACATAGAGATAGAAAGCGAGAAATCACCCCCCAGGGGGGATGGTCACGCCGCAATCCCTTCTCCTCCATTCTCCTCTCGGGATCTTGGGCACGCACGCACACACGCCCGGCGTGAGTTTTAAGCCACCGGGTCCGGGACACGAACCACGGTCGACTACGTGGGAGTCCAGCGACATAGCCATTACGCTAACTGCTGGTTCCCCCTACAAAGCATTTTTAAATGTCTCATTTTTCAAAATTTTAATTTATAATATTTTACCAGTTCTTATGTTTTATATAAAGCATTGTGTATATGTATTTGTGTGTGTATATGTTTTATAAACCATTATATATGTATCATAAAACAACATATATACACATATCTTAGTAGGATGTTTATATAAAATATATATAATACATACATATATGTTTTATAATGCATTGAATATATATTATAAAACATATATTGGTAAGGAATTGTTATTGAGTTTATACAGTGTTATATGTAAGTAATGAGTTTCTTGAAAGTTGTTACTATAATCTCATTTCTTTAAAATGCCCTGTTTGGGGATGTGTGGGGGTAAGAAGTAGCTTCAAATAATCAAGATATCTTTTTAGTAGATCAAGAATATTTCTGAGAAGTCTCTATGCCTTAAAATTTTTTACCCAGTTCCTGTGAGTCAGCTTGTTCCTCTGTCTCACTAATGACAGAGATTATGTCTTCAATTATTTAAAATTCTCTCATCAAATTACTTAATATGCAAATTTACCTTGATTTGAATAGAAATTATGATATGTCAGAACAGTTAAGTTGAGAACTTATTTTTAGCCCACTGCTTCTTTGGCTACTTTAAAACATGTATGTTTTTAA